AAAATACTATGTCAGGTTTTTTGCTAAAACACAAAAAGCTTCAATAATGATCAAATAAAGATCCAACCTTAAGTAAACCTTGGTTTTAAAGCTCTCCTCTTGCTTATTTTAAGAAAGGAAACGCCCAGAAGCTTGGTGTTAACGTTTCTGCTGATTGTGAAAATTGCAGCAATAAAAACCCCAACTGCTTGTCTTAAATTAAGACCTGTAGTACTACTCCATGTGAGATCCATATATTTAATACTAGTTTTTATAACATTTGGAAGTTTTGTTGTCTGCTTTGATGTTAGTCCATTAATAGAGCAGAATCAAAGCTTTAAAAAATTATATTTATTGGAAATTCTCAAATCAAAACCAGAAGTAATGTTTGTTGTACCTCACATTACTTAATATTCTGATTCTCCAGCTACCTGGTCCCAGAACTATCTGTATTTCTAAATTCATTTTTTGTTGCCAACACATAGTAACCCACAATGATTGAAAATGGCAGCTGAAGTGCTTCTACAACACATTAATTTTTCTCTAAGTAGTCCAATTTTGTCATTGAGATGTTGAAAAATCTTTTCACTGCATTTTACACCTTCAGAGATTTGCTGAATTCAGGATCACCATCATATAAAATGAAGAACAATGTTTTCAAGACAATTTTTAGATTATCACTAATAGCTCTAAAGGATAATGTTTTCTTTATAGCACTCTGCATTCAAAGCAGACTAGTTAACAACAACTTAAGTGCAATAAGAGCAATTACATCAATGTGGGCATTTTTACCTCAAAAGTACTTCTTAGATAACCAAAGGGACCAGATAAATAAACTATAATAAAATGATTTCAGGGGAATGATATACAATAGGAATGCCACTAAAAAAATCTCTTAATCTAAATAAAGTATCTTATAAAACGAAAAGCTAAAAATGTTAGGCAATTAATGTAATGATATTTATCCCTCCAAAACTGAGTTAAGTTTCAATATTAGAATAAAACCAAGGAATTCCGAACATTAGTTTATTAAAAAAAAAAAAAAAGTCCTCTTCTAATGAAAGAATATAAGCTCCTGTTCAAAATCAACTAACAATCAAAAGTAAAACTATAAAAAATATAGGTTCCAAAATCTTCTCTGAGGTTCGTTTTCATCTTAAAACTAGGTTTTAGGAAATCTAAAGCTAAATAAATAAAACAAACAGTTCCCCAGAAGTTGATGAAAAAAGTTCTCCCTTGACCCATCTGCTTGCCATGAAATGACCCAAATGACCCAAGTACTTGTTCTTATTTCTCCACTAATGGATATTGAGTTGTTAAAAGAAATTCAAAGAACTTATCTCTCTGCAAATGTAAAAAAAGCATTAACAAATATGCTATAAATACTAGGAAAAATAAACCAAATGTAAGCTGAATTCTCCAGTTTACGGTGTTTAGAAGATACATAACTTTTGAGACAAAACAATATTCAGAAAGAATTACTACTAAATAGAATTCACAAATAATCTGAATATCACCTAGAACCCTTTTTCAAATTTACACCTACAAAAGTTACATTAACAAAGTTCATGCTGAGTTTTTAATATTGAAACCCTCCTTTGATTTTCCCCCCTTAATTTAGCAAGTGTATTAAAAATAAGTTTCCTAGGTGTAAAAATGAGTGTCCCTTTATCACAAGATTTCTATTGTTTTATACTCTAATTAAAAGTCTTCCCTACCCATTTTAATAATATAACAAAGTGCAGGCCGTATAAAAGTACTAAGTTGGAAGGAAAAGCTTTCTCACTCTCTTCCACTGAAGGGACCCCAAAAGACAGGCAACAGTGACTATCATAAAATAAAAGGTCACCCTTTTTCTAGGAACAAACCATTTATCAATAGAAAATAATTGTCTTGCCATTTGCAAGGGCTCCACAGCAATAGACAATGTTTTTCGCTCACATAATTACAAAACAGTGAAAGTTCAGAAACACAGCCTGAATCCACCTCCCTATTTTTACCCTTTACAATCCTCATTGCCCTTTGGGCCTCTGCTTGGAAGCAAATGGAAGACAGGCTGAAGTTTTCTCAATTGAGCTGAAGCTAAGAAACCTTTGATATGCTAATAGTCCCCTTCAAACGGTAAGAATTCACACTTGCATTAATTCAAACAATTTGTGCAGAAGGATGTGAAATGGCACCTCTTTTGGAGGCAAGCAACAAAAGGAGAGAATCGGAATGTCTGAAGGAACTGAACAACAGAACATTTGTTCTACAGTATTCTCTCTATCATGCATACATTTCCTGGAGGGCGGAGGGAGGGACAACAAAAAGTTCCACAACACACCTGAACAGAAGTAGATTTTCTTATATAACGCTTTCCAAATATTAGAAACATACTAAATTTAAAGTTAGCGAGTTACCTTTAGTTACCTCTTAGGTCAAGAGTCCCATAACAACTTTTCTAAAGTATTTATTAAACACACTACACAGACTATTCTATTTTTTCTGCTGTGGACGCACATTGCCTCCTTAGTACCCAATTTTTAAGGTCTGCCCAAGATCTAACTTGATTTAGTAAGAGACATCCCGACAGGAAATTATTTACCAAACGGATGTGACTTTTCTTCATTGTGTAACTCGAGTTGAGCAAAGAGCAAACTCGGTGGGGCCCGTTCCAGATACAAACACTGACAGGGAAATGAATGAAACAGCGTCCGTTAAATCTACGCCTCTGGAAAGGGGACGACAGAAGTACACATACAGTAAAGGCTGCAGAAGAAAATTTAAGAATTGGGGCGGGGGCAGGGAGGAGAGTGCCTTAGAACCGGGCCTTTTGTAACGGGAACCATATGGTTGGTGGCTGCGGCTCAGACGCTCCTAGGCTGCTTGGAGGAGCTGCTAACCAGCCTGACACCTTTCAAGAAACAGGAGGAAAACATTTCCTCGGTCTGAATCCGAGACAACACAGTTTGCGTCAGGAAGAACGGAATGAGAGGGCCCGGGAAGGGGGAAATGATGAGGGGGGAGGAGTCCGTAAAAGAGGAGGAAAGAAGACTTTTTTCCCCCCTCCAACTACGTTTTTAGAGGACGGAATGAAGAAAAGATAAATATATAGAGAGGAGACAGAGAGAAAGAGAGAGAGAGAGAGATTCAGAAAAAAAAAAAAAATATATATATATATATATATGGCATACGTTCCTTAGCCTCCGATCAGCGACACTTTGGGCACAACGTAAAGCTTCCAGCGATTTCCCCTACCCTAAGCCCCGTAGTTTGGCGAAAGGAACAAACTTTACTGATCCCAAGTGAAGGAGTCCTGCAAGCGTGCCTCCCCACTGCTAAGACGCTTTTGTCGCTTCGCCCGCCCTCGCCTTCCTACCCGAGGGGTCGGCTCGCCCCAGCCAATCAAGGAGCCTACGCTCGGTTAGCCCCGGGGTCTCGCCTTTCCTCGCGCTCCTCCCACGACTTTTCCTCCCCGTGGATCCTCACCCGGCACCCCCATCCTACAAACCAGACTTCCCAAGGTTCCCAGCCCCACAGCCACCCCAGGAGCCCACGGTTGGTAACTTCTCCCGCAGGCCCAGCGCGGCCCGCTGCTGCCCTCTCACTGCGGGTCGGGGAGGCTCTCTGCCCTCCCCAGGGCCCGCCGGGTGCCCGGCTCCGCCGCCAGCCCGCCCCGTGGGGCCGCCCCTAATCGTTGCCAGCCCCCGCGCCGGCCTGGCCACATCTGGCTGCGCTTTGCTGTCATCCTTGCCACTCCACACCACCTAACCACCGACAAGAAAAAACAACAACCCGCAACAACTCACCCAAGCCCCCCCACCAAACCTCCCACTTCCCCCGTACTCGCTCCCGGAGCCCGGCCTCCCTGCTCCACTTACAGCCCGGGACAGGTCTGCAGAGGGGGGCGGGAGGGGCCCCGCACCCCAAGCAGAGCGGTCCCACGGAGGGCGCTCCTCACATCCCCCTCCCCAGACGGGCTGTAAAAGGGAGAGCGGCACCTTCCCACCCAAGCTTTCAGAGATCAAAAAACGCTAACCCAATGGTGCTCCCCCACGCCCCCTGCAAACAGACTGATGCCTAGAGAGCGTTACAACAGCTCCCCGAGAAAAGGAGAAGCTGGCTGGACGGGACTGGAGTTCTGCGTATCGATTTCTGAGCAGAGGAGGTGGGGGGGGAGGGGGCGCAGCAAGAGCCAGCGCGGGTCTCTCCCTCGGCCCGGCCGAACATAAACAAACAGGCGAGCCCCAACTCACCCGCGGCTCCCTCCACCTCCAGCATCCACCCCCGGGCAGGAGGCGCAAAGCAAACAGGTCTCCGGAGCCCGGCACAGAGGCACATTGTTCGCTCCTGCGGATCTTACCTCGGTCTGCGAGCGCGCCCCGGGGGCGGGCCGTCTGGCGCGGGGGCCGCGCGGGGAGAGGAGCAAAGGGCAGCGGCTACCCGGTCCGGTGAGGGCCGAGGCCGGCCGCACGCGGGTCGCCGGCCGCCGAGTCCGCGCCGGAGGCAGCGCCGCGGCTCGCCGGCGGGACACGGCGCCGCTGCTCGGCGCGTCCTCCTGCTCGGCCGCCGCCGCCGCCGCCTCCTCCAGCCAAGCAGCCAGCGCCGGGCGGCTCCTGGGGTTAGGTCAACATTTTCCCGCAGTTTCCCACACGCCGCTTCGGAGAAGGGTCTTTTATACACGCGCGCACACCCCCAGACCTCACGCTCCCTTAGAAAAATCAAAATTTCGGGAATCAGAGCGAAAGGGGTGGCGGAGGTAAAAGCCCGACAGAGGTGCGCAGACTTGGGAGTCCCCTCGGAGCGGCGGCCGCGGGAGGGGCGGGCAGACGCCGGCGGCGCGAGGCCAACTCAGTTTGTCAGGCGAAGCCCCTCAGCCCGCGGTCTGCGCTGGCCGGACTGGCATCCCCCCGCGCCGACCCTGCGGCCTGGGGCGGGAGGCAGCGGCGGCCCCTCCTCACATTTCGGGGCTCCGGGCCGAGGCTGAGCGGTGGCCGCTGCCCCACGAAAGGCTGAAGGCGAGGACTCTGGCTCGGGGAAGCTGGGAGGTGCACGGAAGAGCCACGCCACGCACAGCTACGGAGGGGAGATGCCCCCCAACAATCCCAAGGAATTCTCCGGTAAGCTCCCGATTTCGCTCCGGCACCTCTGCGAGTGTGTGTGTGAGCGGAGAGAGAGTGAGAGGGAGAGAGAGAGGGAGAGAGGGAGAGAGATGGGGGAGCGCGAAGTCCTGACACAGACTCTCGGCGAGGTCTGAACTGGAGTCACCTCCAGCCTCCTCCTCCTCCTCCCCAAATCCCCACCTACCCACCCCCCTTCCCGAGTTCTACTAATCATATAAACATATTAGCGTGTACAGCGGCAAAGGACAAATCTCTCCCTCCTGATTTTTCCAGCAAGGGGCTCAGGCAAACTCAAAAGAAGATTACAGGCAGCTAAGTACAAAACGTGGAGCAGATAATCTATAACTCATTGCCGCCCAATGGCCATTTTCCACTCCATTTGAGCAGCTGCGGCGGCGGTGCGCCCGAGCAGGGGGGAGGGGAGCGAAAGGGGACACTTACGGGCTCGAGCAGTTCGAGTGGCGGTGGCCGAGCAACCGCCCTAGGACTGGCCGGCCCCGGCTCCGCCGGCGGGGCGGCCGCAGGGCTGTCCGGGCAGCGGCGGCGAGGGATGCGCGCACTCGGCCTCGGAACGCGCCCCGGAGGCGGCCTGCGGCGGCTGGCGCCCCTCCTCTGCCTCCCCGTCGGCTCGCCACCCCCCGTTCAGTCCCAGGGCTTCGCATCCAGCCTCCCCCCTCCCACCATCAACACACCCCTTCCACCCCGACCCCCACCCCCAAACTCCACTCACTGCGCGCGAGGTCCTCCGCGCGCTCCTCCGGCGCGCGCTCTCCATCCTGTCCACACACACGCACTTTAAAAACATTTATTTTATTTCTGGAACGGGGTGAAGGGTATTTGGGAGAGCACGGCGGAGTGCGGCGCTCGGGCTTCCGAGGCGGGGCGCAGGGGACTGGCCAGCGGCTCGGGTGGGGAGCCCCCTCCCCTCTTCCTTCCAGGCCCAGGAGCTTTCTCCTTGCCTGCACTTCGAAGAGGCGCCTAGGATGCGTCTTTTACCCACCCCGTCTCCAGGTTTTCTCTTTTCTCCACGCTGCGAGCCAGAGGCTTCGAAACTTTTAGTTTCCGCAGCCCTCCTTTTGTGTGACTGCTCCGAGGAGAAAAGAACGTCTGTTCGCCGCGGTTGCCTCCGTCCGGCTGCGGCGCGCGGGGGACGCTCCAGGGTTAATGCGTCTTTGATACCTGAGATTTCCGGCGCGCTCGTTAATGAAAGTTACATTTTTTAAAATTGCGGTGACTTTTTCTTTGTAGTTACAGAGACCTCGCCAAACTTTGACTTTATTGACTATATTTCACAAGAGCGTTTTGTTTGTTTTTGATTAAACCCACCAGGATAAGCAAAGGAAGGAAAGGAGACTACAAGGCTCTCTTTACTCGCAAGTGCATTCATCGTGCTGTTAGGTCTGTTTCCCTCATTTCCTTACATTGAAACTGCTTTTGCTCTTGTCCTCTGACCACACTTCCTTGCCACCTCTGTGATGGTAGTGTCAGTAAACAGCCAGGCAGCGCCAGCGATGAACCTGAGCTGAAGAGAGCAGACCACGACGGGACAAATTACGCTTGAAAAATATTTTAAAGCCAGTTTAAGTGTCCTCTGTATACGAGGAAGGTCAAAACTGGATTTTTTTTTTTAATTTTATTACAAAATCTCTAAGCTGAAAGTCCCTAATTTTTCAGATTTATTTCTCAATCACTAATACTACTAATGAACGCAGCCCTCAATTAAAGAAGCAGGTATGCATTCGTTTTCAAGAAAAACCGATTCATCAAGGTTTAAAACCTTTAGAAAATAGGATGAAACTTGAGCTGCTTTGCTTTCAGAAACTATGCACTTTTTGTTGCTGCGGGTATGTTGTAGTCATCATACTTAAGGAATCATTTCAAACAACAATGTTATTAAAATGTCAACAGCAGACTGTTAAAAGACTTGAAGCATCTAAATACCTATCAGTATTTTGTCACAGAGCCAGGCATTTGTAGTACTAAAGTAAATCCAGCTATTGGTCAAGTTTGTTCCCAACTTGTAAAAAATCATAAGTTAAAAGTACACATGTGCAAATAACCAAAACATACTCTTTTGGTTGATCCATTATACTTCTCAAATCAGGAATTCTTGATCAGATTTCTTTGTACTTAATGTACTGATGTATCAATATTCTCACCATTCCAAAAGATAAGAGGAGCCACTCAGAGCATTTGTGTTTTAAACTACATAAACACTCCCATTTGGAATTTCATAGATAACAGGTTTCAAATATTATCAATACAGGACACAAGCCTCATCTGGGAAAAAAAAAAAAAAAAAACACGTATGCAGAGGTGGTGTGAAACCTTACTATGTACCTAAGGTTTTTAAATCTGTCAAAATTATACATACAACAGATCTACCTAGGAAAATTAAATCAGGCTTCTTTAGTTGAAAAGAGGTAAAATTATGAGATTCTTAGACCTCAGAGGTTATTTATATCTTGGTCTCTTCTAGAATTTAAAATTGTTTTATTCAAGATTATAAACCAAAATATGTCGAATAATAATCTACATTTACTGAAAAATTTTAGCCCTTTCCTTTGTTCATCTTTGAAGGTTTTTCACTCATCTGGGCATGATTCACAAGAAGCCCCAATGAGTGCATAGATCAGTCTAATCCTATTTTCTTTTGGGAGGCAAAACCTGGGCTGAAGTTTTTATTTAGTGAGCTTAGTAAGTAATCAATAGAAATTTTTGACTGAATTAAGCAGGCCATATGTTGGCTCATTTACTTATTTATTTAACTCTCAGAAACAATCTCTGGAAGAGCCCACTGTCTACTTTTCATAGGTCTGACAATCTTTGATGCTCTGGACCTAAGTGATTCACTCTCCACTATGTTCCTGAAAAGAATTGTCAGAAGTGGGTTAAAACTATAGGGAGTGGAAAATGCGTCATACAAGTTTTTAATTTTGATTCAATAGGATGTGTATTTTATAGAGTTCAAAGCGTTCAAAGCTTTTTTGCAAAGGATATAATAAGCTTGCTATATTTTTAAAATTACAGCTAAATGTATTCCTTCTCTAGGATGTTTTAAATATTAAAGAATTTTTAATTCTTTCCTTGCACTTTACCCATAATAATGGTTCAACCTTCTCTGTGTCCACAAAAAGGAATTGAAAAGAGCTTTTAATTGCATTGGTATATTAAAGCTTAAGCTGTTAGTCACAAACCTGCCATTACAAAGGAACCTTTAAATGACACATACACACCAGAAAACATAATTTGCCTGACACTTCATGACAATTCAAAACATAATTTATAACAATACAGGTGTTATGGCAGGGAAAAAAAATGAAATGAGAAGCTTAATAATGTCTGCAGATGTTAGCAAGTTAAGGGGAGTTGGAGTATATTATGCATTCCCTAAAATCCAATCAAATTAACTACTCAATCTGTATTATTATTTAAGTAATGGCAAAATCATTGACTTATTCGTAATACTTGCTAATTGTTTTTAAAAATAAATTCTGCAAAGGACAAAGGAAACACCCATTTCCATTTGTTTTATGTTAAATCAACATCTAACCACTCATGGTGATTTCATTCAAAGAAAACAGAAGGTACTTGTTAGCTTATGTGGTTAGAGAGATTGATGGGCTTCAAACATTTTAACCATATATGTTTTTTCCAACTGTAGAAACTCGTGTTTTTAATTTAAGCAACTTTAAGAAACTAGATTATCTTATTCTGTGGGTTCACATATTTCTGACACAGAAATTATGCTAATTTTTGAAGCTATTACCATCTAAGCACCTTTGTTTAAAGGAAAGTGATGAGGTACTTGTCAAAATACAAGTATGAATAACAATAGTTTGGGTACCAAATTAAAGAATCTGAAGACGTAGGAAAATGGGCATTAAAATATTATGATTAGTACAAGCCAGTAGAACAGTAAGTAACTTCTTCACTACCCCACTCTGCCAAACTCGGATATAGATAAGACAGTTCTAAAAGGGGCTACATGGAGGTGGGCTGGGGTGGAGTGGGGAGATTTGGGACTTGATACTGGGCCAAAAATTCTAAGTTTGAGCTATGCAGCTGTAGATAGAGAACTGTTAAGGAGAGTAGGCTGTATTCATTATGGGGATTATATTTTTGCCTGTGATGAGAGTGATGTGAGTTCTAAAATAACACAGACAAGTAAACAAATAACAGGTGAAACTGGTCTGGTTTCTAATACACAAACAGAAATAAAATTCACTAGATTTCACCCTAAAGTTAACCAGTTCCTATTTCTTCATCATTACTATTCAGTGATGCTTAGTGCTGAAACTAGCTTTCCTTACTCTAGAAAGTAAGTGTTGTAAAGCTCTGGAGCAGATCAAAGCAATGTGTGAATACCAAACTTAACTAGAACTGGTTGAAAGTTGCTAGCTTTGTTTTTCATTTTAGCTTTGCCATGCATGGAGGCTGAGAAGAAATCAAAACTCATTTTCCATGAGAGTAGAAACATATGAAAGCATTTGGCAAAGCCAATAAATTTAACTATTCTCCCAGCTCTCTTCAGGCAGAGTAAATCTTTGTCCAAGAAAGCCAAACTCCATCTAAAATGTAGAGATGCAGTCTCCAAAAGTAATGACATTTAAACAACAGTATACGTATAATTATGGTGAACTGTGCTTAATGACATTGTTTAGAAGTATATAATCACCACATATATTATTATCATATACCTATCATTTTTAAACTAATACTTTTTTAAAAAATTCACCAATACAACTGGTAGCATGACTGTGCACTTAGAGTGTTTATATGTATAAATATATATAAAAGGTTATAAAAATTTTATACCATTGCCATTATGATACTCAAAAGTAAGCAAATTAAAAAAGATGTTCTACGTAATCATTGTTCCACTGAGTCTTATACAACTCTAAATTAGTCTTTCTTTCCCATAGACTGTTCCCATAACTCTTCTTAATCTCTGACTTTGAGGATTTTCTATAATTGGGTCTTATAGATCTTTTACT